GCTAACATTTATTATATTTAGTAATTAATTGTTAAATTTACACCAGTAATTCTTAATTGTAGATATTTCACAAAAATGTTGGACTAAGAAGTCAATTTATCATTGAATTTTAAATTTCCAAATCCAGAAAAATTAATTATTAAATGGTAGGCAACCTGGTAACCCTTGCCAATTACTTTTTGTCAAGTCTAATTTAGCTTAGCTAATACTAAAATACCGTCTATAAAATAGTGCAAAAGTTTATTTTGGCTCGTTGTATAAATATTTATTTTACGCCAGTTTAACTTTGTAGATGAAAGAGCACGACAAATTGCAATTAACCATTAATTCTTAATGCGTTACCTTCACAAAAGACCGTACGCCCAATCTACTCCGTATCGTCCGATAAATGATCCGGAAAATAATGTTCAAAGTCCAAATAATGCATGCGAAAAGCAAACGCTACGACTAAGCCAACGAAAACATTTTTGGTGGGAGTCAAAAACCGCGTTCAAGTTAATTGTTATTCCGAGACAATTTAGCGACGTTTCGACTTCATATTAAAGTACGTTTTCTTCAAAACAATGCCAGATTTGCATACGGATTCGATTGCCGACACCAAAATATTCTCCTACGCAGTCTGGGAGGTATACAGGGTGAACAAGTCAAATGTTTTTCTTGACTGATCCTCTTTAAATAATTGTAAATTATTCGTGTAAAAAGTACTTCAGCATTGTAATATTTGTTTGCGTAGAATAGCAACCATCGCATTATTAAACATGTCGACCGACTTCTTGTGAATACATATAACTAGGCCGCGGAGAAATTCTAGACATGATGTAAATAACAGGCAGACAGTTTTTAATATATCAGTGACCACATGTCATTTTACATAAAATCGTGGTGTTCATAAATTATCTATTATAGACTAAAACTAAGCGGACTTCAAAGATTATTGATATTTCCAAAGTTTCGGATTATATGTTTAAATTAATAAAAACTCTCTATAGGACAGGATTTAAAAATTGCCAATAAGAGTACGTATTTCAATAGACGTATATTGAATTTTTAATAATTAGTATAGTACTTTAGTACCATTTTGATGTTTCTATACATATTCCGAGATTAGATTATTTTACTTAAATCGAAAGAACTTATAAGAGGGCAAGTTTTCTTACTTGTTTGTTGTTATAAATCACAGTATAATATCCCAAACAACACACTTCTAACAATTTAAAAAGTCCTTCCAGAACTTTAGCTTTCAAATATCTTAAATGGTTTAGCAAATATTGTTTATGTTTAATTTCTTATTCGTAGTATTCATGTTTCAGTTGCTGGTTAAATTCCATGAGTTTTGCACTCTGTGAATGAAAAATACTTGTAGTTCCTAATTTCAGAGAGTGAGATGTCCTTTACAGATTAAATTTATTTTCGATCCCTTTAAAAAACGAAGGTACAGTTACTAATGAAACTCAAATGATTGCAAGGTACCTAATCTGACCAATGTTAGATAATTATATCATTATGATTATTTACAGGAAACGGTAATTAAAATAAAGTAGTTTTAGCTTTAGCTTTAGCTTTTTGTTATTTTACATGGGCTTATTTTTATTACTATTAGTACAGTCATTGAAGCTTTTCACCTCCAAATTCTTTGAAACTGTACCGATCGACTTGAAATTTGGCAGATAGTTAGAGAAAAGGTCAATGAACATTAGTGACATACCGCCGATTGACGCTTCCACCCTGTTAGGGGCTGACACCCCTTCTCGGGGGTGGAAATTTTTTTTTTAAAATAAGGCTGGGAACCGATACAGAATCAAATTTTGAGCAAAAAATATTCGAAGAATATTTTCGAGTAATCAATAATTTTTTAGTTATTCACGATTGAAAACTTGGAGTGAAAAAAAAAGCACTTTTTCAAAGTATTTTTCCCGAATAACTCAAACGCATTTTATTAAAAAAAAGTGTAATGAACAAAAATGTAGCTTATAAATAAACAACGAAAATCTTTTTTTAAAAAGTGTTGTACGTCCTATACAAATCGAAATATGGTTATTGAAAGGGGACTTGTTTTGGGGGGAATACTCGAATTGATGTATTCAACGTCAAATAACGGAAAAGGGATTAATTTTACGAGTATAACGCTCTAGAAGTGTTTTGTGGTACTCAAAAAGACCTTCAAAATGAGTACTTATATATAAAGTTAATTAGAGCAAAATTGAAGGAGTTATCGTAAAAAACAGATGGTTTGCTCATATTTTTTAAGGAAAAATGAGCTGTAAATGCTGTACCATTTCCATCAGAATTAAAATAATCATACGATCCTAAAGACTGGTTAGATTACGGTAAAAGTTGAAAACGTATTTTTCATTATTCAAAAAAAATTGCCTTATTTATATAATAACTGTGAAACTATGAAAGATATACGTAAAAAATGATGGACAACAAAATTGTTGCTCTTTTTTCAACAAATATTTTGCTTTTTTTATTCCTATAGCATAAAAAATAAAGGAGATATCGCCCCTTGAAGTATCCATTTTAGTGAAAAAACTACCTGTCTCGAGCCCTTCGATCCTTTTCCTTTAAAAAATGAAGGACTTAAAAGGTTTTATATGCAAACAAGTTCTTGAAATTATCTTTAAAATGCTTTTTGTAGGATACTATATCTTCAAAATTAACCGAGTTATGGTAAAAAAAAACAATGACATTTTTAAATTATTGCACAATTATAGCATTCCAAGATTTAAAACGTAATTTTTTGTCATTTTTTTAGCACAGGGGAGATTTATAAGAGTTGAAAAGTGTTATGAGATACAAATTCTTTCATAAGCAATGAGGGAATTTTTATTTTAAATAATTGCACCGTTAAAGCATTCCAAGCTTTTAAAAAGTATTTTATCACTTTTGTCAACACAGGGGTGGATTTTAGGGGTTGAAAAGGAAAAATTATTTTATTAGCTATAAGGTAACTTTTATTTTAAATAACTGTACGATTTAATCATTCCAAATCTTTAAAATGTATTTTTTTATCATTATTTTTTGCATAGGGGTAGTTTTTAAGGGTTAAATAAAGGGTCGAAAAGATCAAATATATAATAAAACATGTTCGAGAACATGGAACATTATTTAATCTTTGTACTTGAACAAGATTTGTATCAATAAAATGCTTAAAACTTAATTTATTCAATTTTTTTCACTTAGGGGTAGTTTTACCCCTAAAAAACAAGCGTCAATCGAGCTTATGTCACTTTTGAACTTGAGCCAAAGATGAGCCTTATTCTAAATTTTCATGCAGATCCATGCAATTTCAAAGAATTCGGAGGTTACAGCTGATTTTCAGCTTCAATGACTGTACTATATGGCTAAACACCGACGCTAGCAGACGAGCAACGCCCGACCTGAAAATTTTGCTAAACCTCCACTTTGTCGTGGGGTAGTGATCTTCTACTTGCCTAACATTGTTTAGACAATTGTTTTACATACTTTCCAAAGGATGGTATATCTTTCCATATAAACCTCGTCTAAATTTGTATAGCTTCTGTGAATACACCGACATACAGGCCACTAGAAGGTAGACGAGCATCGCAAGCCTTCCTTGTTGAAATAAAGTAAAAAAAATGTCAGTAAATGAATACACAAATCTTCATGAGGAAAAGAGAATAATTAAAGTATATCTATAAATAGAATACGAAAAAGACAAATTATATCAACATCATTTTCGGTGCATTTAAAATAGTGCCTATATTATGCTATATACCAAGGGACCAACTTCAAACTTTTTATAGAGTGAAACATATTGTTATGAGAACAACGTTTTCGTTAAATTTAAGTTTCATTTAAATAATAAGTTGGAAGTAATGGGTTCTTCAAACCAAATGGCATTCTGGTGTACATATTCGTAGTTATTCCTTCTCCAATAGCTTCGTTTTGAAAGTATTCGCTCAATTATATTGAAAGTGATATAAATCATCGAAATTTTTATTTTGATTTGATTTTTATAAAAGATATTTCGGAAACAAGTTTAGCGTAGTAAGAACTGCTAAAAACTTATAAATTACTCCAAAATGACCGATATGGATCTTGATACTGATCTTGTCTCGATTATGGTTTTTTTTCTCATTGACGGGAGAGAAAATGTAGAGAATAATCGACGAGTTTTTTATCTAGGGAGGAAAATTTTCTCCGACATTTTAGGTAACGTTCTTTATGTGAAATATCTTCAGATACCCTGTGCATCTCAGTCACAGTGTATGGGAAAAACTATTCTTCCACTAAATAGTTGCAATCGATAATCTAAAGACTTGTGGGAAGTTCCGTTTGTCTTTGATTAGCTATTTTGAAGTAGTTCATAAAAATCTGTCTTTGACAGCATTTTATCAAAATGTAACTTGGTTACTAAGTTATGTCAATGATTTTCGTTCATAAAAAACTGTTTGCTCGACGATGACGATTGCCGTTAACTATTTAGCACTATGTTTTAGAGGTAACATGTGCTTGTGTTAACGAAATATGCCTTTCCATAAGGAGAAACTTTTAATTATCGAAAAATCATCTAAAAAATTTCGCAAAAGTCAAAAATTCAAGAAACATGATGTCACACAAGATATTAAAAAGTTTTAGTGCCCATATTACATACTTTACTCATGAAATTTGCACGTTATTTACCGTGAACCTACATCAATAGCTCTGTTCGCGGAGCCTGTCAAATTAGTCCGGGATCAGTCAGAAGCAATCGTTTAGCTACTTCTTTTATGCTATGCTTGTAGGAAATAGCACAGAAAGTAGCTGAACGACTGCTTCTGACTGATCCCGAACTAATTTGACAGGCTCCGAGAACAGAGCTAATGTGTATGAAACATAATATGGAATTTTGTTGGTCCAATGTTGAATTATCAAATGTCTGTTGACAATGCTGACGTGTAGATTGCATTACGGTTAAAATTCGGGTAAAAGTCCGTCTCCAAATTCGCCGCAGTTTATGTACATAACTGTCCACTTTCATAATCATTTTGTTGCAGGTTCGGATATTGACGATGACACGGAAGACAACCAACATTCGGACGGGGGTCCATGCGAGGCCGGTTCGACAAAGGCGCGACGCCGACGCACGGCCTTCACAAGTGAGCAGCTCCTCGAACTTGAGCGCGAATTCCACGCCAAGAAGTACCTGTCGCTGACGGAGCGCAGTCAGATAGCTTCGGCTCTGCGGCTATCCGAGGTGCAGGTGAAAATATGGTTCCAGAATAGAAGGGCGAAGTGGAAAAGGGTCAAAGCGGGGTAAGTTGTGCGTGTGTCTATTGTTACACTTCAAAATTGTTAAATTCCTAAGAAAGATGCCTTTTTGTAACTTCACATCATAACAAGCCGGTCAAACTTTGTAAATTAGATACTGTCATGAACAGTTATTTAAAACAGAATAAACTCGAACATTCTAGTAGAATTGACTATTAGGGCGCCTCACGGTGACGGCCCATTAGAATTATTTGAGAGATTACTTCGATTTGAATTTTGAAAATTTGGGATACCGGGTTTTCGGGCATGCCCTTCTCAACTAAAATAATGGCGTCTACTGTGCAAAACCTTACTTATCTTATCAACTTCCACGTCACCTGTTACATAGGTGTTCTATAACAACGAAAAAGTAATATTAACGGTCGATAGAAGGAAGCACAAAAAACAGGCACTTAGGTAGGAGATTCTGGAAGGAAGCCTAAATAGTTGAGGATAGATAGTTGAAGTGCGAACAGTGTGCAGATAGGTAGCAAGACGATCGGCGGGCAGTGTGTCAAAGTAGTGAAAAGTTAATTGTTTAAAGTGGTATTAGGTAGCAGGTAATATCCTTTAAGTACTTTGTTGTTAATTGTTCTATGTAATCTTATGATTGTGATGTTTATAGATGTTTCATGATAATAATTCTTTGTATGTTTAGCTTCCATTGCTTTATGCTCAAGGGCATATATTTTTCTAAGGTAAAATTGTTATAATTATTATTAACGATTGCTCATTATTTATTTCATGTTAAAATATGTATATTGTCGTGACTGCCCAGATATTGCATTAACGACCTCTTTGTTTCACATTTAACTTGTTTTATCATGATTAGGTTGTTCTTTGATTTCTTGTGCTCACTTTATGTCATACGTCTATACGAGCCTTGTTGAGTTTACTAACATTTTCGCCCGTGCGGAACGAATCTGGATTAAGCTCGATTGCCTCCCGTATGGGACTCCAGTGTTATGAAGGATCTTCCGAAATCTCAACTATAGCTGGATTGCCTCCCGTATGGGACTCCAGTACCTTCCGGCTCTGCCGGCTAACTAACACCAAACCTCTTCAGTTTTACTTGGAAGTGTGTATGACTAATATGAGGTAACAGATGACATTTAGTGACACATTAAATGAGACAGGTCTTATTTATCATTAGCAAAGGTTCTTAATTTATGCCTTTGGTTAGCGGTTGTTTTGTATTTATATTTGGGTGGTAAGAGCAACGATCGTGGGTTTCTCTGCCATGCTCTTTCCCCACAGGAGCTCTAGGTGAGCCTGGCACTCTCCTTTTATGTTTAATGGTTGTTAATGTTTTTGTTGTTCTTTCTATTTGTCACATGTTTAATTTGAATTGTATGTAAATAAAGGTTAGGTGTATTTACTCTGCTTTTGTTTTATATAATTAAACCATACATCCCCTCTACAAAGTTAGTAGCCAGCGCCTTCCGGTCAATAAAAAAATAAATACACACAACGTAGGTATTCATTATGACGATCACATATTTTTGGCCACAACTACGTTTACTTATTTGTCGAACCTAGGTTTGTTATACTACAATACGTACCACTTCAATTTGCTTATTTTAAATGGAACACCCTATATATTATTGCAATTTTGGATTCTACGTGTTATTTTAGGTGGACTTTTATGAAGTTTCCCTATTCCTAAAATTAACCGTTTTCGAGATACTTAATTTTTTCAAAAAAATGGAGAGAAACAGTGACTAACTTCAAACCATGTGTATTTTATAGTAAGAAATACAAAGCAACAATATTTATAGGGGGAGGGGTAGCTTCCCATCCATATCTATCTCTTCTAGTTTTTAAGTTATCTACTATTTTTTGTGTAATCACATAAAAACATGTAATTGCTTGCGAGGATAGCTGTGGAATTTTTAGCAAAACTTCAAAACAAACAACTAAACATCAGTTATTTATTATTATTTATTCACAGACGTTACAATGAGATTCTAAGCAGAACATTTACAGTTTAAAAAAGGTTAATTTGGGAATAGGGAAACTTCATAAAAGTCCACCGAAAATAACACGTAGGATCCAAAATTGCAATAATATATAGGGTGTTCTATTTAAAATAAGCAAGTTGATGGCGACTTCCGGTATAACCGAAAACCCGGTAACAAAAATTTTCAAAATTCAAATCGAAGTAATCTCTGGAATAATTCTAATGGGCAGTCACCGTAAGACACCCTGTATATTTAAATTTCGTATTTTTTTTAACATCCTCATAATATTCAATCAACTTTTACGACTTCATCAATACACTGATGTATTTAAACCTCGATAAAAAAATCCTGCCCAGATTCATTCAATATACAATGTACTATGTTTTCATACCTTTGATTTGTTGTTGCCTGAAAGTCTATAAAGTAAACAGGACTTTTTAAAGTTTAACTGTTTTTTTGGCAAAGCCGATTTATTTTATTCAAAACAGTCCTCTTTACAGCGATTTGCATGGTCTAAAAGCACGTCGAATGAATGTTTTAGATCGTTGGTCTGGATTTCTTTCAGGATATCGGTACAAGACTTTTGGAGGACTTCTACGTCCATAAAACGCTTTCCGTTCGTCGTATGGTGCCAAATCAGGCGAATACGGGGTGTGGTTGAAAGTTAAATTGCAATTTTTTGCCAAAAAATCGGTCACTCGATCAGCCTATTATCGTGCAACAAACACCAACTTCCTTCTGAACAATTTTCTGGCCGAATACAACGAATACGATGCACCAAACGCTTCAAGACGCCAAAACATTAACGCATTAACGGTTTGTACCAGTGGAACGAACACTTTGTGGAATACTAAAAGCAAATCAGCATTGTTTTCACTATTGCTATTCCAAATGAAATTTTTTGGGTTTTGGTTCGTCTGGCGCCTCCCACTCGGCACTTGGGCGCTTGGTTTCTGGATCATATTGAAAACACCATAGTTTATCACCAATCACAATGCTGTAAAGGAAGTTTTTGCCCTTTTTGACCCCCTGATGATGTTCTTCGAATGTTGTATTCTGAGCAATTTCTGATCGTCAGTTAACTTCTGTGAAACAAATTGTGCACCCACTTTTCAGTAGCCCAAATGTTTGGGCAAAATGCGATAAATTAATGTTTTTGAGATGCTCAATTCCAATTCCATGAATTTCAATGAAGGTTTTGGCTGATATTTGATAAATTCAGGCACAGTTTTGATGGAACCTGCGGTGGTCGTCAAATATTTATGCCCTCACGATTGTTTTTAAGCCGCGTATATACTCATAAACTCTGCTACGGGATAAACAATCATAACCATAAACTTACTTCATCATTTGAAACCTTTCGGTAAAAGTTTTACCAAGTTTAAAACAAAACTTAATATTAGCTGTTTATTCGATGCTCATTTTTGTACATATAACACAAATATACTATTACTTCAGTCGCAATAACTTCTCTTCTATTAATCTCATAGACCTAGTAAACTATGGACTGGCCCTAGAAAGAGAGGTCAATCGCGCTGTGTGCAAGGCAGATGAAGCTAGTTGAGGCAAATACCGGTAAAACAAATGATGGTACACGGGTATACTGGTACAAAATGCCGTAAACAAACTTTGAAGTAAATGTCATGTATTGACATAATTTTGATTGATTTCTTGAATTTTTGTGTGATTTAGTTAGTGTATATGAAAGATTCGTAAAAACTAAATATGGTGCAATCGTGTTCTGCGATAAATTGCGTAAAGAAACGTTTAAGTGGAGAAAAAATTTCTTCTTCTTTCTTTCCTACCTCATAGGTAGGAAAGAAGTTATGAGATGGTACCAACATGTTTATACTTTTCGCATCTTTCTGAAAATAATGACCAAGTAGAGTTGTCTCTGATGATAACTTATTAGATTATATTATTTCCCCTATCCTCAAAATAAAATGTCATTTTAACGTCAAAATGTTGCCGCTTTAAATGTGTTACTCTTCAAATTATTTTTTAACATCAAACCGAATATAAAGAAAAAGTTTTAACTGAAATGTACTTATAATGTGCTCCAGCAAAATTTCTTTTCAAATAATAGTTGTACGAGGAAAGCATCGACATAGTTTCAATTTATACAGTTCTGCCATAGACCTTATAAACTACTGGACTTGCCCAACTGTCATTTTGCCTATATAAACCTATATAAACGGCAATCGCTCAGACGTGTGCGAGAGAGATGGAGCTAGTAAGGGCTTAAGCTTCGTTCACAGAATTTCGTCTGCAGCGTGCTACATTTAATTCATCCAATCAACTAGCTATACTCGATTCGTTACCCCTTTTTTCTGTTGGGTCGTATTCAAAGACTAAAAATAATATAGAGACCAAAAGACAAGAAAAATTCATTTTTTCCAGTAGTGTAGGTATGTAAAAGTGTTTATTATTATTACTGGCCTAATGTAACAGTACAATATTTGAATTGTTTTAGCTATAATATTCCAAATGGTTTTTATAATGCCTTATTTGTGTGGTTCTCCATTTATTTTCCTCATATCGTAATCTCGATCGGTTAAAATTACTGCAAGCTCTTCTGACGTAGTTGTTTCAAATATTTCATATTTTCTTGCTTTGCAGAACTGTATAAATTGAAACTATGTCGATGCTTTCTTCGTTCAACATATTATTTGAAGAGAATTTTTGCTAAGCATATTTCAGTTAAAACTTTTTCGTTATATTCGGTTCGATGTTAAAAAATAATTTGAAGAGTAACACATTTAAAAGCGGCAAAATTTGAACGTTAAAATGACATTTTATTTTGAGGATGGGAGAAATAATATAATCTAATAAGTTATCATCGGAGACAACTCTGCTTGGTCATTATTTTCAGAAAGATGCAAAAAGTATAAACTTCTTTCCTACCTATGAAATTAATTTTTTTTCTCCAGTTAAACGTCTTTATGCAATTTATCGCAGAACACGATTGCACCGTATTTAGTTTTTACGAATCTTTCACATACACTAACTAAATCACACAAAAATTCAAGAAATCAATCGATAATGTCAATACATGACATTTACTTCAAAGATTGTTTATGGCATTTTGTAACGGTATACCCGTGTACCATCATTTGTTTTACCGGTATTTGCCTCAACTAGCTTCATCTGCCTTGCACACATCAGCGCGATTGACCTCTCTTTCTAGGGCCAGTCCATAGTTTACTAGGTCTATGAGTTCTGCAAAGCAAATATGAAATATTTGAAACAACTACGTCAGAAGAGCTTGCAGTAATTTTAACCGATCGAGTTTACGATATGAGGAAAATAAATGCATTATAAAAACTATTTGGAATATTATAGCTAAAACAATTCAAATGTTGTACTGTAATTAGGACAGTAATATAATAAACCCTTTTACAGACGTACACTACTGGAAAAAATGAAAATTTTTTGTCTTTTAGTCTCTGTATTATTTTTATAAAGTCTTTGAATACGGTCCAACAGAAAAAAGGGATAAGGAATCGAGTATAGCTAGCTGATTGGTTGAATTAAATGTAGTGCGCTGCAATCAAAATTCTGTGAACGAAGCTTAAGCCCTTACTAGCTCCATCTCTCTCGCACACGTCTGAGCGATTGCCGTTTATATAGGCAAAATGACAGTTGGGCGAGTCCAGTAGTTTATAAGGTCTATGATTAATCTAAATGTGATGCAATTTTGACAGTTCATCAGTGAAGGATCTACCTTTCCGGCGCATCCCAATAGATGGCTTCACTGAAAATAGTTATTTTTGAAAAGTCCTGTTTACTTTGAAACGCATCTTACATATCACCAGCTTCACTTTGTGATGAAGAGAAAATGTGAGATATTTAGCAAAAATATCAAGAGCTTGCTTGTTGATTGATCGACTCTAAAACAAAATACATGTGTCAACGATTTTGTTTCTATGCTTTATGTTTCAAATTAAATAATATATAGTATTGCACATACTATTTTCTATCACAAGTGCGAGTCGTTATGGGACCTATAGCATAGGGGGTTAGGTGCACGGAAAGTGCTAGATAGTACAACAGCGTGATGTTATTTTCATAGCGCTATGAAAATAACATCGCGCTGTTGTACCAAAGTTTACAGAATAAATATTCTGTAAACTTTGGTTGTACTATCTAGCACTTTCCGTGCACCTAACCCCCTACACTATAGGTCCCATAGCGAGCGCGCGTGATAGAAAGAATATTTAAATGAAACATAGATACTTAATTGGATACATCAAAGAAAAAGATAAATATTGTTGCTATCTTTTAAATGATGAAAATTATCATAATTTTAAACGTTTACGATCCATTATTTGAAATAAAAATAGCCTATAAAACATAAACAAAAATTAATAACTTTGAAAATGAAATAAAATATAAATCAAACAAATTTTGGATATTTGTTAATACGAAAAAAGCAATTAAATCATTCCAATTATTATGATACCTAATAAATTGCTGACTTGTTTGCTTCTTCATTTATAACTTCTAATAATTATAACTTTGCAAATAACATTTATAATATTACTAATACTACTCTCATGTATGTACTCTTTTCTTTTTCTGTTAAACCATTAAAACCTAAAATGACTATAGGACCTCATCTCATATCTCTTTTTTGATCAAAGACACTGCTACGATTTTCTCATAATATTGCAAGAATATGCCCGGTCTGTGAAAACGAAAATAGAAATGATGTCAAATGATCGACCTATTGCAATATTATGTGATTTCAGCAAACTTTTGAAATTGCAGCATATTTTATCGTTTCACGTTAGACATATTATTTTATCCGAAAAGCATGACTCTGCAGAGAGACGATCAGCAGTCACTGATTTAATCTGCACAAAGAAGGTCAGGTAGAATACGGACTTCTTGAAAGCATTCGACCATCTTGACCATGAATTATTTTTATCTAAATTCAATTCGGTTCATTGGTGAAGTTTATGACTTCATATTTGTCCGGTAGATTTCAGTTTGTGCAAGTTTTAGGAGTCAAGTCTTCCGAAATCGTCTACGACTTCAGAAGTTCTGCAGGGTTGTATCTTTGGACCTTTAATGTTTACAGTTTTTATTAATGATACTGTCTCTGATTTTATGTACGTTACTTATTATTTGCCGATGACATGATAATAATTTATTATATAAATAATGAATTTGATGCACATAATCTACAACGAAAGTACCTAAATAAACCTTTGGTGCAGTCTCAATAGATGTCTAACGCCGTGAAATGTCATATTATAATTTTTGGTCGGCAGTTGAATAAAATATTATAGAATTATAGTCTTAATATGCTTGTCCTACAACGACCTGACTTAGTTATAGATTTAGAAGTATTTTTCGGGCCTAAACTTTACTTTTACTAAACATAGTTATAGTAACAAAAAAAAACAAAATATTAGCACCTTATGTTTACTGTTGACAAACATAGATGTGACATCATGTAGACGCCATGACACCGGCGACCGTTTTTGCGTAAGTTTAAACTTAAAATTAAAGTGTCAATAGTTTTCTACTAAACCTTTTATTTTCTACAGAAATACGATATTTTTTGGAAATAGTAAATACTTCCCAACATCATAGAACAGTTTTTCAAAATCTGTCATCATGTCTATTCAAATAAATTTTAAAACATTTATAAAAGTCTTAACAAATGAAGTTAAACAATGTACTTTAAACAAAAATTTAGATATACTAAAGATATCCAACTTCATCTAACAAGGGATTAGATTAAAGAGATGTATGGTCGGTCAAACCAGAGCAAATTAACTGAATAACGAAAACTTTCCGACTAGAAATTTACTTTTTTTTTATTTCAAAGGGGTCATATAAATTTCAATAAATATAGTTTATTTTTTTGTTTTTTCATCGAAATACCAAAAAAAAAAAATATACTTCTCCAAAACCCACAAAAAAATGAAATTTTTTGACTGTCAGAAGTCTCTAAGGTTTACATCATGGAGACTACACAAAGAGCACGAACTCCATGTAAACAAATATTTTACCAAATTAAAGGGTGCTAGTGTCCCATATGCACCGAAATAGTGGAGAGAAGATAAAGAAAGCGGTAGTTTGAATTAAAAATCAATCATGCCGTTATTGTGATGTGTTAAAAATTTTAAAATAAATAATGTACGTTACTTTTAATTAGATAAGTAAATTAATAAATAATAAAAATATGTCTGTGTACAAAGAAAACTAGCGACCCTAGTGGTGCTTCTTGTCTAGTCTCCCTTATTGACATTTTCCTTACTAAGAAAAAAAATGGTATCTTAGCAACAAAAGAATTCACTTTTAATCCTAGGAGCTAAAGTTGATACTTTTAATCCTAGGATTCTCTTTATTCAAAAGCGTGTCTTCAATGCAGCCTTCCGCCACAGTGTTCGACCTCCATCCCCCGTATCTTTCAAGACAAGTGAGGTCACCACCGCGATTAACTAAAAGTATAGCAGACGTTCGTCGTAATGTGTGTCCACTGTATGTACATACCTACTCTTTCCTGTTGTCCAGCTTCAAAAAATTTGCCACTTCTTGCGAGATGACACTAATTTTATGAATACCGACCACCATCGATGACACTTTCCGCTAACATATCTGAGAAATAATCGACGTTCTACCAATCCGGGTGCAAGTAAAGCAACATATTTTCTATAAAAACTTAAATAATTGTCTCCCAGCACAGTAAAAGAACGTGATCTCTTGGTTTTGGCATAGGAAATTTTTATAATTAAGGCGGATTCCACATCTTCGATATTATCAATTGTTAAATTGATAATTCATCAGAACGGCATGCGCCTGCAACCCCCAATATTAGGACGACCTATAAAGAAGCTTTTTAAAAATTTTCTTCATTATTTTTTAAAGCGTTTACCTTCATCATCAAATATAAATTATCAAATGCACTATTCAAAAATCAATCAACTTGCTATTTTGTAAATACTCGCGATTTTTTCGGTACATATCGCTCATTTTGTCTCTTGAGAAAAGCACGTAACTTTGAATATTTGCCCTTTCTTTATATCCAACGTTGATCGTAGCATTGGATATTGTGACCAAAGCGTTGACGGTTTCATTTCATTTGCCAAGTTTGAGAAATACACCATCAGTACATCTTCTGAATACAACTTAGGTAATGTTTTTTCTTTGCACCAAACCATAAAACGTTGGCAGACACATTCATACATTTCTCAAGATTTCTTTGGGAGAATTCAAAGAAACCTCTTTCGCACACTCCAGTATCTGCTCAGATACACCTAAATCTTCATTAGATTCCATTTTTACAGAGTTTTCAGCAAACTGAACCACAAACAATCACAAATGAACTCAAATAGCAATATATGAGTATATCCATCTATATCTACTTACCTACTTTGCTTTATTGTCCAAATTTGGTTCGAATAATTTCAAAGCACAAATTAATAATTAAATGGGAGATTTCGATTGGAGAAAAAATAACATTTTATTCGGATTAAAAGTGTCTTTTTTGTCTCGCAATTTTGCATCCGTACACTACGCTTCGCCTCTCAAATACAACATTTGCTCGCCATAAAAGTAACACTTTTAATTTAATATAACAATAACTAGTGTGAATAATATCCATATGAACTTAAAAATATGCTTTTGCTGCTATTCCTAAAATATGTTTCAAATTATTTCAAATATGACAAAGATACATTTCTTCTTGCAGGTTAGGCACTGGCCCCCACCAGAGTATCAAGGGTGCCCAACAAAAGAGCAAACTCGTCGTCCCGATCCCAGTTCATGTGAACAGATTTGCCGTGCGAAGCCAGCACCAGCAGCTCGAGAGGGCCTTAGGAGATCTCGCAGGGAGGGTTTTGGCAAGCCACGCGGCGCTTAGGGCCGGTTTAGACTTGCACGGATTTCACCCCCAGGCGCCACCCCACTGAAACAGTGTCCAACAGAGTGGGTGAGAACGCGTACGCGGCAGTGTGTGGACTTGGGTTTTATAGATGATGATTCTGATAGTACGTACTTATTTTGCAAGTATGGATTGAAGAATAAAGAACTGCGTTCTGAAGACGAAATTATGAACTTACATAAACCTAAAAAATGTATACAAATCATACTAAAAACTAGCTCGGCTGGGTGCATTGCGGTTCTATAACGAATTATAAGTCATGTCGTTTTTTACAATTTCTAAAGAACATTATATGACCGTTTTTTTTATAATATTTATACAGTGAGCGGCAAAAGTATGGAATATATTTATTTAAAAATCAGATGTTCGTTATTTGAAAAATCGCGCGAACCCGTCGAATTATATTTTTAGTTGCGCATTTTCTGAAGCAATTTTCATTTATACAGGGTGGCCCAAAAAAAGTTATGAAATTAAGGCCAATTTTTTTAAATGGAAACCCCACTGTTTTGTATTTTTATTCACTTCTCCATGGAATTCTGATCACTTTTTATGTAACATAACCAATATCTATCTTTAACCGTTTTCGAGATAATGGCGTTTGAATATAGAACAAGGAAAATTTTCAAAAATTACCCTGAGATTTACCCTGCTGGTTTTAAAATAAAACCTGGCTCGTAATTTAAATAGTGACATTTAACAAAATCATATTTTATACAATAAAATTATGCGTTTTTAATTGAATTATACCTAAATACCTCATTTATATTTTTTACATTCAAGTCATTACGTCCTAATGATCAAAAGAAATAACCGAACCACTTATTTCTTATGGATTTTTCTGATTTGAAGTAACTTTCTGTGAACCACACAAATCTAAGATGGAAAAGTAAACGTGATTTTATTTTAAAACCAGCATGGTAAATCTCAGGGTAATTTTTGAAAATTTTCCATATTCTATATTCAGACGCCATTATCTCGAAAACGGTTAAAGATAGGTATAGGTTATGTTCCACAAAAAATGATCAAAATTCCATGGAGAATTGAATAAAAATACAAAAAAGTGGGGTTTCCGTTTAAAAAAGTTGGCCTTGATTTCTTAACTTTTTTGGGCCACCCTGTATAAATTAAAATTGCTTCAGAAAATGCGCAACTAAAAATATAATTCGACGGGTCCGACCGATTTTTCAAATAACGAACATCTGATTTTTAAATAAATATATTCCATACTTTTGCCGCTCATTGTACATATATGTAAGTTTTGTTTGAAATTTTTTAGTGCCTAGCACATACAGCAAACTAAATTAATGAACGAATTCAGCATATTATTCATATATGTACTCATTAATATTGTTCGAAAAAACTTCAACAAGCGAACCTGAAGCTTCGGGTATCTCCTCTTATTTTCAAGTACAAGAAATAATAGACACTAAAGGCACGACTTATAACAAAATTTTTAAAGCGACTTCTAAGTAATGTAAAAATACAAGCAATAGTGAGGAAATGTTTTAATGAGAAAATTGTTCGCTTAAAAAATAACATTACTTATAATTCAGTAATTATTTGAAAAAATTAATTCCATATAATTTACAATGTCCTATACTATATAATTACTTTTAGTTCGTCTTTTTTCATGTTTCATCACTTTAGTGATTGTTAAAACAGTAAGTACAGTCCGTACGATATTTGTTGAGATAAAATTCCAAGAAGATCCCTGCGTCACTTTCTTGGAATTAACCGCAATCGACTCCCGAGATAGAAAGACATTGGCGGCGTGGCTTCACCGTAGCAGCTTACAGTGCATACTCTGTTTTGCAGTTACGAAGGCGTGTTTCTTCGTAAGTGAATCGTCCTGTGCATTTTCAGTGTAATTGTTAATAAATCGATGGAGGTGAAAAATAAAAGAAAGGAATTTGATTCCCAGTCAAAGAGTAGCGTGTTTAATATACGAGGGGTACCCAAAACAACCCGAATTATTTTTAAAAGCTATATATTTTCAAATTGTTCACAAAATAACCTTATCCCCTCCATTACAACTAATACATTTGTCCCACCGGTGCTTCCACTGTTCGAAACATTTTGTGTGGTCATCTTTAGAAATAGCTGACAGCTCCTACCTCGTTTTTTCTTGACCAAATCCTTCCATGCCTCTTTTCATGCGTGGAAATAAGAAAAAGTCGCACGGATCCAGGTCAGGCGAGTAAGGTGCGTGGGCAGCTGAACCATGCCATTTTTAGCCAAAAACTGTCTAACAGAAATGGCTGTGTGTCCAGGTGTGTTGTCATGGTGGAAGAACCAGTCTCCTCTCTACCACAAATCGGGCCTTTTTTGACGAATACTGTTGCGCAATTTTCTTAAAACTTCCAAATAAATGGTTTGATTGACGGTCTGACCTGGGGGAACAAACTCTGAATGAACTCCCTTGGCATCAAAAAAGCAAATCAGCATTGTTTTGATGTTTGATTTGATTTGACGACATTTTTTTGGACGGAGTGACGATGACGTCTTCCATTGGCTTGACTGTTGCTTTGTTTCTGGGTCGCAACCGTAGCACCATGACTCATCACCAGTAATGACCTTTAACAGAAAATCTGGATCAGTTTCAAGCTGTTCTTTCAAAACACGACATGTTTCAACTCGATATTCCTTTTGATTGTCAGTCAGAACTCGAGGAACAAACTTGGCAGCAACCCTTTTCATTACCAAATCTTCCATTAAAATTCGCTGAACCGAGCTCCAAGATAACCCACTAATCTCTGACAGTTGATCAATTGTCTGTCGACGGTCTGTGGGCACAAGCTCTCAAATTTTTTCAATATTTTCGTCGATTCGGGCAGTTGATAGACGTCCAGAACGAGGTTTGTCATCAATCGACATGTCGCCACTTTTAAACCGAGTCGTACATTTGAGTTTTTTTAATATTCTGAAAATAACGCGGAAAATTTCAAGGCACGCCCCTGCCGCAGTAAATTGTTACAGTAGTTCAGATAACAGCACTTCATTGGCTTATATTTTAACAAATATTGTACGGACTGTATTAAATTGCATTAAATATATTTCAGGAAAATGATAGCTTTGTTGGGATTCTCTATTTCTCGACAGTTTAGGATCTGTGCAAAACTATAAACGCATTAGACAAAATTCTGAACGATTCAAAACTATCCGGAACTAAAATGCATACGAATTGACATTTACAACGAACGGTAGCGAATTAATAAGTTAAAAGTATAATCATGTTCATCAGAGATTTCATTTGTTTGCTCTTTGCGTTTTTGCCTTATACTTTAACCTCAAAATATTTTTTTTGCGTACCGCAAAAAAAACAAATAATTTTCTCTGATGGAAACGGAAATCTTTTATATCCAGGTTCAATTTTAAGATACAGATATGATTGTATGTATTTGGCAGCAATGTGCGAATATTTCTATTCGCTAAATAAAAAGAAATCTAGAATCTAGAAAGAAATCTAGAACCTAGAATAAATCTAGAAAGAAAACCTAAAGAGTTCCTTAAATTCTTTTTTGTTAAATAGATTAACCGTATATGTGCGTAATAAGCTTCATGTTTTACTACTTTGCAATTCTGAGAAAATGACTCCCAAAATTTCAACGATATCTTCAGAACTGGAGCTAGAAAATGATAATGCAGAAATACTCGGGTATATTTCGTAAAAGAAAAAAATGAAATGAAGAAATTACAAAATTTGCGGGAAATAATAAATGCGATCTGCGGAAATAATAACTACGCATGTACTAAATAATACAGTTCTAAATGATTCCGAATGATATACGAATAAAACCTAAACAAACGAATGCGAAATTCTGAACCGTTCAAAGAAAATTAGAATGTATATTTCAGACAGCGCATGAGTTGGGAATAGGGTTATATGGGAATCCGAACAAAGCTGATGGGCATTACATTTTTTTTGGATAAAAAAAATACTTAATTTATTATTCTTTCTACAGAAAAACAGATTTGCACGACAGGTTACAACTTTTTATTCTTCAATGTATACAGCTTAATAATTCAAAATGAAAAATATGAGCAGCAAATACAGTTTTTTTACTTCAAGCGCCATATAGTGACTTTACTAGTCTAGTAGGTACATTGTATATATCTTCTACTCTTTAATAACCTACGTAAGCATTTTTTTCTGTAAGAGAACTGCAAATAAACTTAAACCTTAAAGGAGTTAAAAGATATAAATTTAAGAATTTCCATAATACAAAATAGTAACAAACCACTCCTTCCTCCACGCAAGTCCTTAATTATTTTTTTTTTTTAGTTTTCTTTGTAGAGGTATGGAAGAACTAGACTAATTTTTTAATGGCAGAAGAAGAACTTTAAACTTATTTTTTATAAATGAATACTTAAATTTATTTCAAGTAATTAATTTAGAAAATGTTTAAAGACCTCAAAAAATGTTTGACAACTGAAATAGAAATCTTTTGTTATGAGGTTGTTAATAAAAGTTGGATAAAAATAGATCGGTTTAAAGTTGGTATATACAGGGTGATTCAGTCACAATGTCATTAATTTTAACGGAAGATAGGAAAAATATTAGTACAATACGAATATGCGCTTAAATAAATTTTAAAATGCACATTTACGCTGAGGAAAATTTTTAAATCATTATTTATATCCCTCCTGCCGCTGGCCTACAAAGGTTTATCGAGAGTGAATCTAAGTATTATTCTGTCACTAACATAGCTTTTACTGCATTTTCAATCCGTAGTGAAATAAGGAAAAAACAAATCTAGACATATGAATGAATAATATATTTTTTTTTACATTTTAAATATTAACAAGTATTATTTATTTGTTAATGAGGACAATTGTGTAACGATAATAATTATTTTCACTAGTTTGAGTTTTCAATATTGAGTTTTGAATTTGTGTTTCTAGTATTATGTTCAATTAATTATTCAGTTTCTAGTGCATATACCTAGTGATTTATTGCTTTTCAAGGTGTAGTATGGTGCCTACCTATTTAAAATACCAGTACGGTTAAAAAAACACTCATTCGTGTAT